AAATAACCTCATACGTGCACAGTAAGGTCACCTCTAAGAACCTTCAGTGTATGCAATTCTTGGACATTCAAATGATAATAATTCTGAGTTTTCAAGAAAAGCAATATCAAATTGCACTTACTCTAGGGCTGAAAAAAAGTATTTTTAAATGCTTAATATCTTGCTGATTATTCAAGTTGGAGATGGAAACAGGCAAAAACATGTTGCTCGATAATGCTGTTATTGGAGGTCAAGGTTTGACCTCAGTCTGGGCACATGCCAGGGTTGCAGACTTGATCCCCAGTGTGGGGCATCCAGGAGGCAGCCAGTCAATGATTTCTCTCATCATTGATATTTCTATCTCTCTCTCCCTCTCCCTTCTTCTCTGAAACCAATTTAAAAAATAATAATGCTATTATTTTCATTAAAAATGAACGCATTTAAAACATTACACAATAGATACCCGTCCCTCTTTGGTGCCAATTTCATAAAATTGCAGAATTCTCAGAAATATTTTAGAGTATTAAATTTGAATAGCCAAACATCTGAGAATCAAACATATACAGACTCAAAAGTACAGCTGGTCCCCCCACTCTGCACTTTGCACTAACAATGATTGCATTAACAAATCATGTTACCTGTTCAGTAAGTACACACAGCTTTCTGAGCTACTAAGCCTCTTTAATTAAGGCAATAGGAGCTCCATACATGCAAAAGAAGATATTGTATATTCAAGGAGAAATTCATACAAACATGACACACTTTATATTTGTTATTTGATTCCTTATAGATTTAAAACTTGCATTAAGGCAACTTTGCACTTCATATACTCCATAATTTATAGACAGAATTCATATGACACAACATTCTTTCCCAAAGTTATCAATAATTAAATTCTTTTTGCCCCGGCCATATGGCTCAATGGGTTGGAATGTTGTCCTGTACAACCAAAAGGTTGGGGGTTTGATTCCCAGTCAGGGCACCTAGGTTGCCAGTTCAATCCCTGGTCAGGGCATGTACAGGAGGCAATCAACTGATGTGTCTCTCTGTCTTCTCTCTTATCAATAAAAACATATCCTCAGGTGAAGATGAAAAAATATTTTAGACTAAAAACAAAAATAATTAAATCATTTTTGTGACTATCATTCAGTGTGTGAAACAGAAAACAACATCATTTGTATATACAAATGAACTAAAATACCTGCTCCATGTTCCACAGCTTCCTCTCGTAGAGTTTTAAAAATATGGTCCATCTATTAGGCCCTCATCAACTTTAACCAAAAATCACACATACACCCTATAGGGGTGGGAATAGAGTGTGTGGTTTGTTTGTTTTTTTTCCAAGAGGTGACTTCGAAGGAAAATACATTATTACTTTCTCAAGCAACTAAAGAAAAAAAAACACCTTTTTCTATTATCTGAACCAAAACACAGAAACAAAATCATAACACACACACACACACACACTCCTGCTTTGTAGTTTAGGCCAACTATGAGCAAGCTATACTTGAATCTCCTTACAAACTTCTAAAAAATCTATAGGCACATACACATTTTTATTAAGCTATTTAAAACCAACCTTGCTAAGGAAATCACATACTATTTAAAAGAACAAAAAGAAGGGAAGCAACTAATTTTAAAATCTTACTATTTTCCCTATGTTATTAAAAACACATAAAAGAATCAATCTGAGAGTCTATTAGTCTAAATAATTAGATCCAGTAGGTATAAAAGCAGTAAAAAATATTTTAAAAAAAACTAATAATGCTTTAAAAGTCTTCTGAAATACTATGGAGATATAATAATGGTATAAAGAAATGACTGAGAGCCAATAGTAAAACAAAAAGCTTATTTTATGTTTAATAAATTATTCTCAACTCATTTCCAAGGAAAGTGTTTGGTAAGCTTCAACCATTTCCCAGAGGGATGAAGCACTGGTTTGCAGTCAGAAAGAAGACAGTCATGATCAAGAAAAGTAGACAAGATAGAAGAATTCTGCTTAAGTCATATTTACATTCTCCATAGTGAGGGGAAGCCAAGTTTGCCACCCCAAATATGCCCCTTTTTAAGACATTATTTTAAGCTAGTTATTTTTAAGGAATGACAGAATCAGGAAAAACCTTTGGTCTTCCCCCTAACTGTCTAAAAGAATTTAGATAGAGGACTTGCTCTAAAGGAGCAATTATCACAGATAACTATATTTTAATGTGAACTAGTGTGATAGACAGGGAGGAACCTATCAAGAGCCATTTAGTCCTTTCTGTGTCCCACTGTTAAAGAGGCAGGTTCCATGTTCATAGGGACCCCATATGTGAATAGGTAAAAAATCTGGTCATTTTCTCTTGTTAATCTGTCTCATGTTAATTTTGTTCATTTCTCCAACTGGAAGAACTTAGAAGGGTAGCAGAGAATTTATTTTTCTTCCCCATGTGGTGTGGTGCTCTCCTGGGAGAAAAAGCTCAGTTTTGTGGAATTCACATACTTCCATGGTGTAAGTCCTCCCACAAGCTGGCAGCATGATGTCCCAGAGCTAAAGTCGAGAAGAGCACACCATACAGTACTAGTACCATGCCAACACAATCAGTGTAAATAACCTCAGAAGCAGAGATTATAGTAAAATGTAATAAAATAATTAGGAAGTGACAGTTTTTGAGTATTTTATAGAACTTATTTAACTTTTTGTAATGGTTGTATTTAACAACTGGCTGGCAAAAATCTCTAAGAATTGAACAACTGGCTTTCACAAGCCAACGTAGGCTGACTCTAGCAGACCATTTATATGTTATATACCCAGAAAAGTATAGACATCTCTCATTTTCTTAACAGCCATTCTTAAATACTGGAAGAACACAAACTTAATTCTTAGAAAAAACTCTCAGCCCTGGCACCTAAACACAGAAGTTGATTTTCAAGAATACCCAAGCCTTCAGAGTATAAATGGGTCCACTTCCTCATCACAAAGCTGGTTATAGGTATAAGCTATAGAATTTGATCTAGAAAAAACATCATATAGTATTTCACAGAACTTGTAGCAAAAAGAAGGTTGAACTGTGTTGTACTTCAGGGTCCCTTTGAAACAATATATATTTCCCCACGGCCCTGACACTCTCCACTCCTCTGGCCCTCAGAAGAAAACTCTACTATAAGGTCTCTCTGATTCTGGAGTTACAAGTTAAAAAAAAAAGCACTTATAATTAAAATAATTTATAAACAAACTAAAAGTTTGCTTATTCTCTATTCCATGAGAATAACAGAGCACTGTGTCTATTAGATAAATGTTAGCTGATGAATAAAAACTAACAAGCCATTAGCTTTCAATAAGACTTCAGGATGAAACCCTGGAAATGTGACTGGGCTCTAAGTGGGCTCTGTAAGTCTCAGGGGAGACTTGCTCCCCTTTCATGTTCTCTAATTTGAAGACAGTAGTATAAAATCCTCCATTTTTAATTGATAGGCAACCACTTTATTTCTGTGTGTTATGTAGGTGACCATTTATGAGCTGTCAGTTTGCATATAAGGAATGAAAAAACCCCTGGCTAACAAAGAAACTGAAATAAAGTGGCAATTAAGGCAACTTCACCCCAAGTGTTCTTGGACATGGAATATAATGAAAAATGATGATCTGACTGAAAATGGATTCAGAAGGATCAGTATATAAGCAAGAAAAACTAAAGTAAAACTAAGACAAACCCAATGTTATGGGGCACTGGAGATGGAAATCCAATTGTATTTAAATTAAAACTGACAGGGCTAATAGACCAGGTTTTGTGTTATCTCCATCTATAGCTTACTTCTTTCATGCAATTAACTTAATCAGACATCTACAGAACATATCTATTGTGAAGGCAGGATCCTAAGTCCTCAATTTTGTAGGTTTGACATATCTATAATTCCTTGAGTTTCTGAGGGCAACTTCAGGATCATCAATAAAAATTTCTGTGAAAAGAAAAGCTCATTCACATTTTCAATTAAAAAAGGAAGGGATTCGCCGAAACCGGTTTGGCTCAGTGGATAGAGCGTCGGCTTGTGGACTGAAAGGTCCCAGGTTCGATTCCGGTCAAGGGCATGTACCTGGGTTGCGGGCACATCCCCAGTAGGAGATGTGCAGGAGGCAGCTGATCGATGTTTCTCTCTCATTGATGTTTCTGACTATCTCTCTCCCTTCCTCTCTGTAAAAAGTCAATAAAATATATAAAAAAAATTTTTTTAAAAAAAGGAAGGGATTCATAATGTAGGATAACTACTTTTTGAAGAGTTGAATGATTATGCTGTATGTTTTCAAATTTAAAATATCATCATATGTTTAGGGGTTTAATTTATGGAACAATCAACTAATCTTTATATTGCACATTAAAGACCTGAATATTATTGTTCACATTAGATGAACAATTATGGAAGACTTGCAGTGCAACTTAAGAAAAACTTGTCACTTTTATTGTGTGGCAATGATTTGTAAAGCATGATATGCTAAGTAATCCTATGATATAATTTAGGGACACAAAAACTTCTGTCAGAAAACAGCCAGAGACTACATTTAATTAAACTTTTACTATTAAAATAACATAAATTAAATTAATCGACACGGTATAATTAAACCTTTATTTGTAAGATTTTTTATTAGACTTGTTCGTCATTAATGAACGTTAAATGCTACCTCTAACTTGAGCTCTATGTTAAATTTAAATAATGAACCATTGTTCACACTCACAAAAGAACAAACACTACTTTAACAGTCTTTTGTCTCAATGGGGCTGTTACTCTTATGCATAGCTAAGATATAGGCTTGTCCCTCCTTCCTCTCTATAGTCATTTCCATAGTTGGCAAGATATCATCTTTAAGGTTGATAAAATGGTTTAAAATAACGAGAGTGAAATCATTAAGAATATAGCAATGAAGTAGCTAAGACTGAAAAGAATTTTGGTTAACCTCAAACAATGTTTTCAAATTTGTGTTCTAGTATTTCTTATTAACCTCATATATATATTGAGGAATGACCCAATTTGGGTTGGTAAAGACTTACCTGAACATGTCTCCTAGACCTTTCAGCATTCCCTTCTTGGCTTTCATTTTATCCTTTTCCTTATCTCTATCTTTTTTCTTCTCTTTTCCAGTTTTATCCTTTCTCCTATTAATCTTATCTCCTTTCTCTTGGTTTCCATTCATTTGTCTTTCCAGAGAATATGAAGGCTGGTCACTGGCTGTGGACACAGACTCTCTCCCTGATCTTGAGCTTTCTTCTGTGTCTTCTTCCACTTGGAAGGAAACAAAAAAAACAGATAAGGAATACAGTGAACCAAGGAACAAAAATAAGGAAGCTAAAATATATGTGAGGATTTTATTTTCCCACATGTTGTACTGTACAGTCCTGCTATTAACATGGGTTGCAGCGCTGTTTACTTTAGCATGGAATTAAAACTGAATATGTGGAATGTATGAGAAGAGGAAGAAGATGGCGGCGATATAGGCAGACGCGTCCCAGGTCGTGTCCCGGAGCAAATGGAGTGAGCAGCTGAAACTAATAGCACCCACCCCGAATTGGTGAAATTGCTCAGCTGGTGAGACAGTTTGCAGCCGGGAAGGGCAGAACTCCCTTGGAAAGGTAAAAAAAAATCGGGGATTTGGGCAGGAAAGTTTGCCAGACCTCTGAGCCCAGAGGGTCGGAGGGAGACCGCGTGGCAGACAGCCGCGTCCCTTGGGACAGGCACAGCCCCTGACTGGGGAGGGGAGATCCGCGGGATTCCTGGCGCCGCCCGGGGGATTTGAGAGCTGGGTTCTGTGAGCACGGAGGACTGAGCCTAAAAGGGGCAGATCTGACTATGCAGTGCCCATAATTGAAGAGTTTACAGAAACCAAGCCTTCCCCGTTTCCGCGGCCGGCGCTT